ATTTTGTTCTTTAAGGCAGGAACTCGCTGTTTAAAAAAGATAGAGTTAGGGGAAATATTAAAACTGTGTGTGTGCAAAAATATTCTTTTTATCTCATCATAAAAGAACTTCTTTCTAGTGGCCTTCCTTTGCTGTTGCTTGTGGTTTGATCCTCAGGTTTAAATTACAGAAAATTTCCCCCTTCTTATGCTGGACAGCTTTTAGTTCTGATAGAACTAGAGTGGGCAGGCTGCTTCTTAAGTAGAAAAAAAGAATTATTTAAAATCTGAATTCTCAGCTCTGGAATTTTTAGTTCTCTAACAATGTGATAGGTTTTATAAAAGACCGGAAAATGTGTGAAGAGTTCTTTTTGTTTGTTTTAATTTTGTAGCAAGTTTGGTTGTCTTACGGGAAGAGCTGGGCTTGCTTTTACAAGCAGCTGTTTGACAGGAACTGGATGGCGGTGAGGTGATAAATGTGAAAGGCTGCAGTATCAAACCAGAATTGTAAAAGCAAAACTTCTCCATACAACTTCTTGCAAAAGTGTTAGACTTTGCAGGCTTGGCTTCCTGAACTTGGCTCCTCTTGAAAGAACCCTATAGATTAAATGTGCTAATGCAGTGATAGTTGTGTTTATACAATGTTTTCAATATTATGGTAATTGGATGACAAATGCAGCCCAGGCATTTTTGTCTTCTAGATTTAGAATAATTCTGATTTACATTTTGCCTTAGCTTTTGAAATGTATCATGTTTAATTTTGTCAGTGATGCTCAAACGTCAGAAACCCTGAGGTCTAAATGATGATAGTCTGGTAAAAAAGGGAACTTGTCAAGATTCACAGGTCTGCCTAGATGCAAGAACCTTGTAATATTACATTTACTGCTGGAAAAGTATGAACAAATTGGTTTTCGTGGGTAAAACTCTTAGAAAATAACTTGAGAGAATAAATAAAGCTAGAGAATACTGTGCTCAGGTGGGATTTTCAAAATTACCAGTTGCAAAGTGAACCTCACTGAGTTCTCTAATTTTACCTGAGTTCTTAGTGTAATTCTAGAAATCTCATCTTTGGTTGTGATGGTGCTTGAAATTGCAAGTGAAAATTTCTTTCTCATTTGCAAGAGATGATGGAAGACTGTTGGATCGGAAGTGATATGGAAAGATTGAATGACAGTCTAGTGCTCCCTGCCTCTTTCCAAAGAAATGAGAGGGGCATTTATGAAACCAGTAGATTTGAAACTAAACGATGTTTGGGTTTCTTAGTTTTGTTTTTAGTTATGCACACACACAATGTGAACTTTTTGCTACTGTGAATGTTTACACACATTTACAGGAAGACAGAACAAGCTCACAGGAGAAAAATTTCTCCTGAACACACAAATATATCTGACCCAGAAAATCCTGACATATGACTGATGAAGTGAGACAGCACTTGAGAAAGCCTTGTGTGCTTCTCCTGCTGTTATCTTGTTCCCCAGGCATCCAGCCTTGTCTGCTGTTGGAGTCAGGACTGTAGATTAGCTGCATGTTTGGGGTCTGATCAGCTATCCTTATCTTTTACCTAGTCTCAAGAGCTCTTTTTCAATTTTTGCAATTCTGTGACTGAGGTTACTTCCTTAAGAAACAAAAGCTTGGAGGTTGATTTCATTTAAGGATTCCTTACCTGCCTGAAGTATTTTCTATAGAGGTTTTTTACACACTTTAAAAAATATAAAGACATCTTTGACTTGGTACTGGTATTTCTTCAAATGTAAAATATTTGCATGCTGAGGTGAAAAAAAAATCACCTGGCAATTAAAAAATTAAAACTTCAAGCTGAATACAGAAAGTATAAAATAGGACATCTTCTGATTTTGATGTTGAAGTAATGATATGTTGAAGTAAGTTTAAGGTATTTATAGCAAATATTTTTTCCTTGTCTTTTGAAACTGCTGGTTAATGAACTAGTTATCAATATTTACCTGCCTTTAGATCTAAAACTTGCTTGGAATCAATTAAATTTGCCCTGCTTTTATTTTTATAGGAAGTGTGCATTTTCTGCACTCTGTAGATGAAAAAACCACACTACAAAGAACAGTTTTTCAAGTTTTTATCCTAAAACTGAACTCCTAGCTCTCCCTGGGTAGGCATATGAGTAAAAATAATGCACTTTTAGGAAGTACTGGTTGCAACACATTCGGATCCTCAGGAGCTCTGACAATGTAAGCCTTTTTTTCTTTGAAATGTCTTGGCATGACTTCGGAATGTAACTTCTTATCTAGATTTTACATTTAAATTTTGTCATGAGACCTTACCAGAGAGACAAAAGAGTTGGTATCAAAGTCAAGAGCAGAGAGAGGGAGTGCATCTGTTGAGGAATTGCTCCATCCACAGCTCTCCAGGATAATTTTGTTGCAGAACCAGAAAAGGCAGAAAAAACCCCATCCAGTCCTGAATATCTGGTACCCTGTCTTGATATCACCTTGTTGTGGGAGGTACAGTTTTACTCCCCCTCTTCTGAATCAGTCAGATCAGGAATTTTTCAAGTCATGGTCTGATTCTCAGCATTGCAGATGATGCTTTTTGACTGTGTTGGGTTTTTGTTAGGATATTTGTTGTGTGTTTTTTTTTTTCCTCTCCCGTGAAAAAGTGAAAATGTTTAATAATAAAAAATACAGAGTTTCCTCAGATAGCTTCTGGACATCGAGCTATTAACTGATCAGAAAGCTGCTGTACTGTGTTGCACTGTGCTCTTTCAAAAACCAGAAGCTGCTGGCCTGGAGAGCGAGTGCAAAGCAGAGCTGCTGTCTGTGCTTCTGCAGACTACTTGAGGTAATATGCCAAGGAAAGTTTGGCTTAAAAGGGAAGTATTCATGGATGTGGCTTTGTCTGCTTGTTCTGCTTTTAAGTCAGCGATGGGTTTTTATTTTTCCCCTGCAGATTTTTCATCTCAGAAAGAGTAGGTTCTGTCTGTCAGGGTGAGGCCTGGGGTGCTCACTGCTGTAAGGGCTGTTGCTGAGGGGGTGTTGCTGAACAAGTTGTCACTCAACTGAGTAACAGCTATGAGGGGAGTAGTACCCTGGAAATGCAGCCCAGCAGTGACATTAGGGGCTTTTGTCTCTCACTTCTTGGAGGGAGTCTAATATTAAACACACCCTTTAGAGAGAGAGAGTCATTGAGACTTCAGAGATGCATAGCTGGTTTTGGACTTTGGATTTGTCAGCAGCATATGGAAAACAGAGTAACTCATGCCAAGAGTTTCATGCACTTTTTTGAATTTGGATATGTATAAGAAGAGTTTAGGATTCCCAACAAAGATAATTGTTTATTTCAGATTCATGCAGGCATTTATATCTATGCTGTCTTTGTAGCTTAAGCCCATTCTATATGAATTTTCCTTTCATAAATTATGTGGAAAAAGATTGAAAATACTGTTAAATTTAAAATTCAATCAGCACTAGCTCCTAGCAGCCATTGAGTAACTCGCTTTCCCAGTAGTAGGAGGCAATGTATGGTTGATTTATAACAGCTAAACAGAAGCTTTGCATAGGGAAGTAGACTCATTGAGATAACAACATATCATATAGTTTGATGGCTCAATATGCATTTTTTCCTACATTGATTCACTCCTCTGCATACAGCCCTGGTGCAAAAATTTCTCAGTGCTGTATGTGTGTTGCAATTGACTGCCCTAAATCTTAAGTGCAAATTTGTTTAGACTCAGTTCTTATTCTCCATTGTTTTTAGGGAGGAAAAAACAACACTTATTTTACCTTTTAAATTTTATTTTATTTTACAGTGATGTTAAATTAATTCTGAGGAAAATGTACACAGTGTTCTAGTAGCTTGGAAACATATATAGCAGGATGTTTTAAAGCAATTTTGTCTATGTGTTCCTGTTTGTGACGGTAATATATGTAGATTTCTCCTTTTACGTGTTGCTGACTTTTCCAAGTGTATTGATTAATTTTGCCAGCACATAGCCCCGAGTACTTTATACTTTTTAAAGTTTGAAGAAAGTAGCATTTGAAATATTAAATGCTCATGTTCTAATGATTTTTAGGACACAAAAATTGAGAGGAAGTTGAACTCCAAAATTACAGCATCTTGAATTTCTTTATGGGACACCAAATAGTTTCCTGGAAGAAATAATCAACTTGATGCACATGTATATTTCTAGTTAGAAAAGGTCTTATTTTACCAAGAAACTGTACTTTGAGATCAAATTAACTTACTCAAGGATGTTATTTTCCTCAAAAGTCATGCTTAGTTTAAGAACTCTTCACAAAAGAGTTTAATCAAGTGGTACTGTACCCAGAGCATTAACTTCAGTCATCACAAGTTACTTTGTTTTAATCACACAGGCTTGTGAGAGGAAAAACCAGTTTGTCTGAGACATTTCCAAATGCTCTGAACTACCAGGAGACATAATTGCTTTATGGGGGCCAGGCTTGTGGAGAGAGCATGTATTTTTATCAGATAAACCTGGGAGAAACAAAGTTCTTGTAACTCACTGATTGAAGCCTCCTGTGAACATAATGGTCCCTAAAGTAGGAAAGTGCAGGGAAAAAGACAGTAGGGGAGTGGAGTAAGAGGGGCAAGAGGAAACTGGGGAAGACACAGTAGCTGAAGTGATATGACAATATGGGGCAATTTTCCTGCAGTGTGGAGCAGGTAGCTTCACCCCCATCCTCAGCAACTTGGAAACTGATATCATTATTAAATTGAGCAACTGTTTTAACTTCAGGAAGGAAAACAACCTACTTTTTTATTTGTGTTTGACTTGAGAAACAACCCTTGGACTTTGGTTAACCTCTAAACTCAAAAGTTCATTTCTAACATACAATCTGTCAGAACAAACCTTTGACATAGATTTTTAAAATACTTTTTCTGTGTGCTATTATGCTTTACACTTTTACAGCCTTGTAATAAACTTTTCAGATGTGAAGGAAGCACAGCCTTTACATATGTTAATATATGTCCACAGCTGAAGAAATGTGCAGGCTTCTAATTCCAGTTTAGTCCCAATAGTCTTTTAGTATAGTTTATATTGTAGAGTCACTGTCAAATATTTTCATTTTTATGGTCTGAAGGCTGTGTTGAATGAAGCTTTCTGAAACTGGCCTTTCAGAGAATCTGACATCCCGTGGTCTGGTGGACCGGTTCTTTTTTATGGAATTTTGAATGGTATCTGATGTGAAGTAATAGACAATGGGGTCAAAACAGCAGTTTGAAACAGCGATGCACAGAGTTATGGGGTACATAGTCCTGACTGCAGTCACCACTGAGCAATTGACCCAGGTCTGTGTTCTCATAAGGGAGTAGAGTATTAAGGTAATGTTATAAGGAACAAAGCAGAAGCAGAATATCACCAAATGGACAAAAATCATTTTGAGTACCTTTTTCTTGCTTACTTTATTCCGGCTTAGCGTAAGCGGTTTGTTCAGGGTCCGTAGGACCATGGTGGAGCAGGTCACGTTCAGGATGAGCGGGATGAAAAACCCAACCGTTTCAATGAAGATAACAATCCGGGACAGGTAGGTTTTCCACGTGTCCTCTGAAAAGTTTTCAAAGCACGTCCTTTGCTCCGTGTTGTTGCGGCGGTTTGTGGACTGGAAGAAGCTTGCTGGTGTGCTGCCTGCCAGCACGGTTATCCACACTGCAGCGCAGACAATCTTGGCGTTCCGTTTGGTCCGCAGGGTCTTGGATCGGAAGGGGTGCACTATGGCTAGAAAGCGATCCACGCTGATGCAAGTCAGAAACAAGATGCTCCCGTACATATTCGTGTAAAAGAGGGCGACTGAAATCTTGCAGAGAATGTCTCCAAACGGCCAGTTTCTGGTTACAAAGTAATAAATCCTGAAGGGTAATGTAAACACGAAAAGCAGATCTGATATGGCTAAATTAAGCATGTAAGTTGTAGTCTCGTTTCGCACTTTTAAAGTACAAGTGAAAATGTAGATGGCTACACAGTTTGCTATGAGGCCGAGAACAAACACCATGCTAAAGATACACCCGTACAGAGTATATTTAAAGGAGTCCTCAGTGGAACAATTAGAGCTTACCATTATAATGGAATGTTAAAAATTCCTGTGATTTGGCGTCTTCTCTGGTATTTTTATTGCAACTTTTTTTGAAATTCCAGAAGAACTTGCAGGTCAGATGTATTTGAACGGTGTGCTTTGGCAAGTTTGTTATGCTGGGAAGCTTCAGGGAAGGAAGGTGAGCTCTGTGGCAGGGGAGTACATCTCCAGCAGAAATCACCAGGAAGTCTCTCTTCTCTGCTGAGTGCTATTTGTAATCACATAGCCAGTCTACAAAAGTCAGAAAACGCATCATTTGTGGCAGATGAGATCACCCCAAAGCTTGCTTAGTTCCATTTCCCACCTCGATTCAATGAAGCCGTTGTAGGACTTTCTGCCTCACTCTTGGCTGCAGGTTGTGCTGGGAAGCCTCATCCATCCGAATTCACTGGGAGAGTGTGCTTTAGGAAACGATTTCCTGGGCGCTGCGGAGTGTCGGCGCTTGCATTTCCCCCTCTCCCTTCTTTCCATGCAACAAGTTTGTCGGCTCGCGGGCTGGCCCCATGGGGCGGGAGGCAGGAGCGGGAGGGAGCTGCCTGCCGGGGCAGAGACCGAATTCCAGAGCGTGTTTGTTCCTGCAGCCCTCGGCAGCTCCTGCCAGCCCAGCTCCTTGTGGAGAGCAGAGCAGAGCGCCCGGGCGATTTGTAGCGTGACATCACAGGAAGGAGAGGCTGGGCGCCCAAGAATGGTTTCAGTTTGGTTTGTTTGCCTTCCCCTGGCTCTGCTGTACCTTGCAGATGCAGCTTGGAGAGTGCAGCAGCTGCTTCTTAACTCTTTCCATGCCCCCTGAGAGGTCCTTTGTCAGTATTGCTGGGGTCTGGAAAACTTCCTCTTCAGTTATGATGAGACTTTACAGTGTCTAAACTCTCATGCCCTTAAGTTCCTATTTTTCTTTGTCAACAGCAGTAATTGTGAGATTTTATATAGGATTTAACTAACGTTGTGCCTTTTGTTAATAGCTTTGCTTGTAATAGAGAACACTAGATTAATCACCAGAAGTCAGCTGAGTGGTTCTGTCTAAATTCCCCCAATACACCCTTACAAACCTCCAGAGGGACAAAGTAACATTGATAGGTAATTAAATAATTGCACCAAATAATTACTGAAAAAGAGAGGGTTACTCTTGGATATTCACAGGACTGAGATGTGTTGCAGTGGGAGGAGAGATTTTTTTTTACTTGTTTCATATTAGAAGGCACACCCCAAGCTTTATTTCTAACCAGAAAGGTGGCTCTTTTATTAAAAAAAAATTTACTCCACTGGTTTTTTGAAATGTTGTGATACAGGAACATTTTCTTGAATATGTAAGCACAGAATTAATACAACAAAACGTGTATAGTGTACTGTGCAATTGGTTCTGGTTATTTCAAGGGGGACAGTTACCACATATGCACAAAATACTCCCATTAGTCACTAATAATTGAAACAAAAACATGTTGTAACTAATTGCACTGTTAAATAAATATTAAAAAAAAGCAACTCTTACTGCCTTTAGGGGCAGATATGAGATAAATCTCAGTTTAGACAGACTCATTTATTGAACAACAACTTGGATAGACTCACTTCTGGCATCAAACCCAGTCCATTTCTAAGTCTTAGAATAACAAATCTCTTTATATCTGGCTGGGTGGTATGGTTCTTTTGAACTGTATTTTAATCAGCTGCACCTAAGCAAGGCTCTGGGCAAAACCTTTCTAGTCTGCTGTGAAGGAGAGTAAATAATAGCGCTTCGCAGGATTTTGGCACAGTTTCTTAGCGTAAGGTATATCAGATGAAATTCAGAAACATGCAAAAGTGGGTCTTGCTTATTTTATTTCAAGTTTTCTTTGTAATCTTCTGTGAAACATTTTCACCTTGATTTTGAGGTGAAATCAAGCAGTTTAACTTCAATAGGCTTATAACCACAAGAAACCTTTTTGACTATTGAAATCCATGCTTAAATGTAAAGCATAGTGCATATGGGACTTCCAAGTCAGTCGAAAATGAAAATGTGAGCTTGGCAGAGTCTTTCATGTCCCACTTAACATGTACCTTAGCATAAAGGCTTTCCTGGCTTTTCTCACAAAAGCAGTCATCACACAGTAAATTTTGTTTCTGTTCCTGGCAACCTTGCGTGGTAAAAGAAGGGTTTTCCTGCAAATGTTCTGCGTCAGGTCACAGGAGCTCTGCTCAGTTTTACTGCTCCAACTTTGTTTGCACATGAAGATTCTGTGGAGCAGGCTCAGTTACTGGAATGAAAATCCCTGCAGTACAGAAATGTGGTGTCACAGGTCAAAGCCTCAAGCAATAATTCATGTTTAGGGAGAGAAACTAATGGCAATGAGTGTGCATCTCACTGGTTAGAACTTATTTTGGTGTTTTGATGAAGGTGTGGGTGTGCAGAGGCAGGGGGGAATGTCTGGTCTGTTTTACCACTGTAAATGTGCTTTAAAGTAGTGGTCAGGGTGCATCCTATTCTCTGTCTGTCAGAGCTCCTGCCTTGCTGTGGCTCCTAGTTGTTGCTCCTGTTACAAGCATGGATACTACTCAGAGCCTATTTTAGGGCTTTATTTGTATGGTTGTGTTGCCATTAGGACTCTGTTGCCCCTGAACCCTTCTGGTGCAGTACAGTGCATGTACTTTGTGCTAATTGATGACCTTAAGTGATGTTTGTGTATGTGCAGAAGCAGCATTCAGCTGCAGGCTTTCTCCACCTGCAGATGAAAATGAGAAACCCCTGAATTGGCAGGTTTTTCCTTCCCTTCTTGTTTCAGCAAGGAGAGTTACCACTGAGCAGGCAGGCTGAGTCTTTTAGCGTAAAAGTGTGAATGGCAAAGGTGAATTGTATATCCACTTGCTTAATTTAGATGCAGCTGATTGTAACCAAGCAGTGTTTTAATTTCTGTGAGCTTGTCCAAGCTGAAGAACGTGTGTTAGTGCAGTGGGAGCAGCTGGGAGTCAGGACTGGCTTCCCTTCTGGCCAGGCTCCAGCCCGAGCAAGGGGGAAGCCTCATTTTGCTCTCTCCTTTTGTTGGATCATGTTTTAAGATGTTGGCCTTTGTGCTGACAGGTTCAGAAAACACTTCAGTAGCCCCCAACCCCCTAAATTTTAGAGGAGCTTAACAGTTATGGAAGAAGAATTGACAGAGTAATGTCCTTGCTTATACTCCTTCACCACAGGCTATTTTCCTTTAGGATGGGAAGGAGGGGGTGGGCAGGAGGAAGCAGCTGCAGGGCAGGCCTTGTACACTGAGGGTTTTTTGTCTCCAAAGGAAACAGTGCTATTGCTGCAGGGAAATGCACATGTGAGTCTGTCTGCCTTTCTGCATCAGAGATGGGAATGAGTTAGGACCTGTCATTTGCTGCTAGTGCTATATGAGCAAAGCCTGCCTTTCCATCAACAGGCTTCCTGTGGCTCCTGAAAGGGCACCAAAGGCAGAGTAAGAATGGGCTCCTTAAAGCCAGGAACAGATGAGATGTTTGAAATCATCTCTCACTTCAGCAGTGAGCAAGTTTTTTGTACTGCTTTGGGCAGTTACCACATAACTCTGCTTCTCTGAGTTTAGATACCTATTTAAGCAATTTTGGATTTATGTGGCAAGCCTGCTCCACCTCAAGGAGAAGGAAAAGTGCTTATAACCTTAGCAGTGTCCTAGGAGAGTGGCTGTAGGACAGTCCTCCTTCCTCCCCAAGGTGCCACAGAGTTGATTACTTGCTGTCATTTAGGACACAGGGGGCAGGATCCCTTAAATTAAAAAATCCCTTAAAGAAGCCCAAGTTGAGTGGCAAAAACCATTTCACTGAAATAAAACAAGTATTTGAAGGCTTTCCAAGCTTTTGGAGTTGTGCTGACCAGTGTTGTATGTTCCTCTGGTCCCTCACCTTCAGAGCTGGAATTAAACCAAAGTTGTGGTGAAATGCATTTGAACTTGTCTAATGTACTGCATTCAGTCTGTGTCCATGCTAATACTGAAAGTTCTTTAGAGGGGGGAGATAAAGCAGCTTCAAAATCAATAGCATTGTAATAAATTCTTACAGTGTTTCCAAGGCCAGAGTATGCACTGTTAAATGAGGGTTGTCAGGTGCACAAAATGGTCTGTGTAAGACCATTATTCAATAACTACTGTCACTGCTTTTAGAGGCACACCTCTGTCATAGTACAGGCATTTGTTCTCACTTGGGTTAAGCAGTTTTATGCAGAAGAACTTGTGCTGTCTGGTGCAGGGAAGACAAGCCCTGGCAGGATAATATTTTCTTTGACTAAGTATTGTTATTTATCTAGTTATTTTAATGGATTTTAGCTTTTTTTTGGGGTCTATTTACTGGAGTTTCTCTTTGAACGTGTGTGTGTGCTGGAAGGAATTTGTTATGGTTGAGAAGCAGGGCTGAGAGCCAGGAAATCTTTTTGGCTGTGCCACAGATCTTCTGTTCCAATCCTGGCAGTTTTCTATGGCTTGGTCCTCAAGCTTCCCTCCACATAAGAGCTCATTCACTTCCACACTGGGATGATGTGAGACTGTCTTGATTTCTGTAGTTTGAAGCCCTGGGGTGGAGAGCCCTCTATTAAATATAATCTTGAGGTAATTACAGTGGCTACTGAATGTGACAAAAATACTGACATTAAAAATTTGTATTTTTAGATTAGATTCCAGCCAAGCAAAAGGATCCATTAAGAGACTTCATTAGTTTCACCTCCATAAGTCTGGAAAAATAGATATAGAGGAGCAGGGCTGGGTATTTTGACCTTCTCAGCTGTCTTTTGGGGCTGCCTGCTCAGCCACCCCAAAGTCACTCTAGGACTGCTTCTGAGAAGTGGCTCACTGCCATCTTAAAGTGCAGTGGTGGTCTCCACCTGTAAAGATAGAGTGAAGCTGTTATGGCACTGAAAAGTTCCTATTTTGTGTTGGTGTGACAGGCAAGTCTTCAAATGAGCATTATAAAACTTAGGATGAACAGAGTATTTTTATCTAGCCAGCCTAATCCCTTGCAATTTTTGCAGAGGCAGTTAAAGGCTCCACAATGTCAGGAAACTTGTTAGCATAATACATATGAAATCTATACAAATTACAAGTAAAAGTTGATTGTGTAATTGCTTAAAAAGGGAAAAGGAAGCTCAGAATAAAATTCCAGACTTCTTTTTTCTTGTGCATTTGAAATGCTCCTCTTCCCTTTTTGAAATAGTTTCAGTTTCCTTTACAAGAGACACAACTGTTCCTCTCCTGCTTGTAGATAGAGGAAACAATTTCTCTCCTTCTGTATGAGTTTTTAGGCTGCTATAATACTTTTTTTCCCCCCTCTACTCTTGGGTTGATGCTGTAAGCCTCATGGTAGTATAGTAGAGGTTAGATAAAAGATGAAATCTTTCCAAGCTTTTATCTGTGGATTGATTGGTTAAAAAGGGATGGACTAAACAGCAAAGGACAGGATCATAGAGCTCAAAAGCTTGAAAAGTGGATGTTGATGTTCTTCAGAGGGAGGAAAAATGGAAAAAAGACTATAAACAATCTTAACAGCATGATTTCAGTGGATAGGAATAGAACGAAAGGAATCTCTAAAATGTCAGGTAGGAAGAGAAATGCCTTAACTAGAAAAAAATACCTGAGTTCCTAAATTTTCATTTGCATTTTTTTCTAGCTCTAAAGAAAGTGTGTTTTCAGTTACTCTGCAGACGTGATTGAAATAACATCAATACTTGAAATTTCTGTCTGCTGTAGATGCAGGAAATAAGTTAAATTCCTTTCCCAAACACTGTGGCAAGTTCTGGCTCTTCTCATTCTTATACTTTCTAAGTCCCAGGATTAAAAACTCAAAGTTTGAGTTGGCAGAAATTTGCCAGATGTTCCGTGGCTAAATTTTTTTACTCAAAGTACTTTTCAAGTGCAGAACATGACTGTTTTAAGAAAACCTAAAAAAAATTTAAAAATCACTTGCTATAGTAAGCAAACATTAGAAATTATAGGAAAGAAGAAGTCTTATCTATTATTTTGGAAACTCTTCTAAGCGTAGGGGGTGAAATGATCGGGGTAACAGAATTTGTAAAAGAACATCTGTAATTTGTGTCGTTCTAAAGCAATTGCTTGCTATTTTTCATATCTTTAGTGTAAGGTTTTGCCCAACATATGTTCTCTGGGCAGGATTAAGGTAGTCTGGTTCTGTGTCAGGATTACTGGTGTTACTGCGCTGGTTC